TGCCGTCCCCACAGACTGGCCTTGGGTGGTGAGTTGGGGATGCCCTCCTACATTCTCCTTCCACCTCTTGTGCTTTGTGACTGAGGAGGTCGTGTATTTGGGGGAATGGATTCTCATACTTTAGATTCTAGTGTCTTTGTCTCTGATAAGAATGGGGACACGACCCCCATTCTCGGACCATCTGTCAACTCACAGCTGACGATGGGGTATGTAAAGGTTCTGATTTAGGGTGTATTTTTCCTAAAAGAACTACCACATCAAGGTTTCACAATTTGTGACTGCTTGGGTCTGTAACACACGCTCATTGAGGTAATTCCCAAGCTGTTCAGTGCATGTATTTACTGGTAGGATGTGTCCATGGTCAGCCCACACAGAGGGCAGGCACAGGCTTCTGAGTCTTCATCAAGCAGGTGCATGATTATCTGAGCCCATACACTCCAAGGCCTATGGACTAGGCATTGTAATGCTGCTCAATGAGACCCATGTGCCTGAGGAGTTAGTCAGGAAGAAAGCATCACACCTGTGATGTGAGCAGAACGCAAGTGACACCCACTTTCTGTGCCAGGCTAAGTGCAGGCATTTCCCAGTCCCCAGAGCAGATCCTAGTAAGAAAATATATTCTATACCAAGCGGGCCTTCTTGACCCACTGCCTGGGTTCTGAAGGTTAAAAAGAGGGTACAGGAAGGGATTTTCTCCAGTGACCTCTGAACTCAGCCAGAAGGTCACCTGCGCCGGATGACCTCTAAGCTAACCTGGACTAAGTTTCCCTAGGCTTCCTGCTCCAGATGCTAGCAGCTGTCTCAGCAACCACACTCCCCATGGGAAGCACAGATTCATCCTCTACGTAACTAGTCACCTCACCCTGGGTTCCAGGAGCATTAGACACATGGAGTGTGGCAGAACCGACCTGGTGTAGGAGGGTTGGCCTGCTCAGTGGCTCCACTCAGGAAACCTGACCCTGCTCTGACATGAGATGCATGGCCATGGGTGATTCCAAAAAGACAGGGCTCGTGAAGTGGGACTGTCTCCACGGCTCCACTCAGGCGTGCCTGCCGCTTGTGTGCTGGCGGCATGAGTGTGTGATACTCGCATCTCTTAAATGGGTTCGACAGCTTCCCTAGGCTTCTCTCTGTAAACAGCTTTGTAGATGGCTTTAAATATCTACATATATCAAGGAAGCTTGATGATTTCCAGTGCATGTAGTTGTAATGAAGACGTATTACTCAGACAGCTCGTGGTGGGCTGACAGGCTGGTGAGTGGGGCTGGACGCGGGCTCAGAGGCTTCCCTGGCTCTTAACATCACTGCTGCCACTGCTTCTTGCTTGTCAGCCGGCCCTGGGGGAGGGGCTCAGATTTGCCAGTTTGGTGTGGCAGCTAGCACCTGGCTGGAGAGAACTGTGGGTCACCCTGTCTTTGGGACCCAAGTCTTATTTCCAGGTGCGTAAAGGGAGCCTTTGCCTCTTGGAGTGTTCCCGTGAGGATGCCGGGTCTCACGGGGACAAAGGTACCCATGCTTTCAGCAGACAATGTCTCCAGGCACAAGTCCAAGCCAACCTTTACCCGGTGAGCACGGATGAGTCAATTACGGGGCCTAAAGCCCACCAAAGACAGGTCAAGAGGTACAAGAGACAAAGAAAAAAAAAAAAGCCAAACAGAACATGGAGGCAAAGGTACCCCCACCTTGCTGGCTCTAGCCCTCACTCCTCACTCCCAGGCTGGCCTTGGGCAAACGACTCTTCCTCTCTGATCTTTTGGCTCAAATGCAAAAGAAGCCTGTACTCAGGGGTCGGCTCCAAGTCCAAGAAGGAAATCAGGTGGAGGTGCCTCTGGTGGAGGCAGGTGCTGAGCAGACTGAGTTTCAAAAAAGAAGTCAGAACGACTCCCAGATACATCATCAGAGGCCTGGCCGGACGGCTTGTGACTGGACAGTCACAGAACCAGCACTGTGGAGGGGAAGCGACATCCCACAGGCCACACGGGCGCCAGCCTAACTCCTGTCTTTTCCTTTTCCCAGGGAGGAAGAGACAGCCGTTCCGGATCTCCCATGGCGAGACGCTGAAAGTCCTGCCTGCTCTGCCTTCCCGAATCCTTCCCTCGGCTTCTTAATATAACTGCCCCAAACTTTTAATTCTACCTGAACCAATTAGCTAGTTAGAGCAGACCCGCTCCTAATCCCGCGGAGCCACGCACGTGGTGGGGCCAGGCCCGCGGCACCCCGGCTGGTTAAAACCGTCCCTTTTCGTTTGAAGATTGAGTTTCCTCGGGGTCTTCTCGGCCCTGCCTTGTTCCCCGTGTACCTTGGTCGACTCCGGAGGTCCAAGTGCACGGAAACCCTCCCAAGCTCACCCCCTACTCCATCCTCAGACTTTCTTTTCACGGTGAGGCGCACCCCTCCAGCTTCCGTGGGCACTGCGGATAGACAGGCACACCGCCAAGGAGCCAGAGAGCGTGGCACAGGGGACTGTGTGGTCCAGGCTTCCTTTCTTTTCTTCCCCCTAAAGAGCTTTGTTTTTCCTAACAGGATCAGACAGTCATGGAGTGGCTTATACACGGGGGGCTTGTGGTATGTGAGCGCAGGCTGGGCAGCTGTGAGAGTCCAGAGTGGGGTGACCCTGGGGACGCTTCCAGGCCAGCAGTTCCCTGCACCCCACCAGCTGATTTCGAGCGTGGCAGAGGGAAGGAAAGGGGCGAGCGGGCTGGGCAATGGCCCCAACAGGAAATGGGGACTTAGGGGAACACGCTGGAGATGTCATGTGTGGCCACCAAATGTCACCATCTCTCCTCGGTGGCTCCTCAGAGCAGGTGCTTCTAAGAACCCCATTTCCTCTCAGAGCCCAGGGAGAGTCCAAGGATATGGCGCATCTCAAAGTGGGAATGCAGGAGTTCTCTGGTGGCCTCGCGGTGTCCCTCTGGCCACCACTCACATTGGGATGGCCAGTGGCAGCCCGCCACAGTAGTGCCCATTGGTACACACTAACCTCAGTGAAAAGATAACCTTCCCCTACCTCCTAGAAACGACTCACTCATAGCTGATTTAAGAGTGTGCCTGTCACTGAGTCGCTACCCTGGATTCAGGGCTGGCCTGGGCGACCCTTCAGGGATGAGGAGCTCAGAATCCCACTCTTCTAATGTCCATGGACACCTCTCCATCCCTCTAACCTACTGACTAATGTCTTTTGATTTAGCATGTCTTTTATAGACCTTCCAAAGAGCCCCACACTGGCCCCGTCATCCTTGGAAGGAAGGTGATGGTTGATGTGAACCAACATGCATCTTGTTAATCTGTTCTAATTCTGAGTATAGTGTGGGTTTAAGATAACATCAATTAATACATAGCCTCAATAGCGTGAGGGTAAGAGAAAAGCAGGGAAGAAAATTCCAGAAGTAAACCCTCCAGATCGTTCCCACAGGAGCACTCGCCCTCCGATGTGACTGAACGTCTTTGCTCGTGGCTTCATCCAGACAGCAGACACTGCAGACTGGCTGGACAGGAGCCCCCACTGTTCTTGAATATTGAAATAAAATAATAAACTTGCAACAATCTCTGCATAGATGTCTCATTTTCCATCCTGGCTTGTAGAAGCAAGCCCATGTAGAGCACAACCTCATCACAGGACAGAGTATTGTCCTTCGGTCAGGAGCGTAGAGTTGCCTCACACTGACCTTTGGGGAACACCTCAAGGGCCATGTTGAGGAGGCCATGCATTAATAAGCCAAGTGGATGGAGTAGAGGTGACATGGGACAGTAATCCATGGCACACAGGAAAAGGATTTTCAGTCACTCTGAGGACCATTTCCAAAGCCGTTGTGCTGGAAGAGCAGGTCACACTCATTATCCCTGATAGATACAGCAATAAGTGATTCATCTCTCCCATCCTCCTCTCTTCTCTCCCCCCCTCCTTGTGTGTTTTTTGTGGGTTTTTTTTTCCTTGCAGTTGCTTTTGGTTACAAGAATTTTTTTTTTTTGAAGGATTACCCCAAATCCCATTTCATGATGCTTTTGAGAGAGCTACTGACTTCGTTTCTGAGCTTTCCAAGGCAGGCTATGGAATACCATCACATTTGTGAGCTGTAGGAGGGAAAGTTTGCTCTTAGCATTACAGTCTGTTTCTCTGAGACATGTTGGGCCAGCCTAAGAACTCAAGTAGGGAGAACTTGGAGATGATGAATGTACCATTCAGAGTTCAGGCCCCTGGGCTCTGAAAGCCGGAGTCTGCTGACTTGAAATGTCTAGGTTGGGCATAGGGGCTCATGTCTATAATCCTGGCACTTGGAAGGTGGAGGTAGGAGGACTGAATGAGTTTGAGGCCAGCCAAGGTTACATAGTGAGTTCTAAACTAGAATAAGATGCTCTTCAAAAACCCAAACATCAGAGGCTGGAAGTTGGTCAGTGGTTAAGAGCACTTGCTGATCTTTCAGGGGATCTAGCTTTGGTTTCTAGCAACCACGTGGAGGTTCACCATAGTCTGTGATTTCAGTGTCAGGGAATCTGATACCCTCTCTGTCCTCCACAGGCAACAGACATATACAAGGTGCACACACATACATACATGCAGGCAAGTGTTCATACACATTGAAGCGTGAAACTAATTAGTCTTATCAATAAAATCCAGGAGTCAGATATTGGGGGTAATAACCTGAAAGATCAGAGAAGCAGCCACTAGAGACTTCCTACCTCTCCAGATCCTCCAACGGAAAGGGTTGAGATCCTGCCTCAGCCCCACCTTACCACTTCCTGTCCCTCTCTCTACAGTCCTCCAAACCTCTATGGCTAACTAGTGGCTAGCTCTGCCCTCTGACTACAAGCAAGCTTTATTTGTCAAAACACAAACAGAATATCACACAACAACGCATAAAAAAAATTTTAATCTTAAAAAGCAGAAGAAAATAAAAGGCTGATGTCCACTCACTTCCTTGTCCATTTACACAACAAAATATTCCCCAATAAGGGAATTGGAAACATGGAGACGTTTACACTATTTACATTAGTGCTGCCGCCACAGCCGCGGGGGTTCATGGGTGCAGCCGCCTGGCTGTGTTCACCCGCCACCTCTGCTCTTCAAATCTCTCCACCACCTCCCCTGCCATGATCCCTGAACTTCGGGAGGAAGGGATGTGATACTGATCTCCCATTTACGGCTGGGCATTCTGCAACCTCTTAACCTGCACCTTGGCCAGTTGTGGGCCTCGGTAGTAATCACCCTGTGCTGGTTGGGTTTTGTCAACTCGGCACACACCTAGACACACCTGGGAAAAAAGAATCTTGAGCAAATATCTCCCTAAGACAGACCTGGAGGAAAGTCTGTAGGATGCTCTTTTGATTAACGATTGACATGGGAGAGCCCATCGTACTGTGGGCAGGTGGTCCTTGATGGTATAAGACAGGCTGAGCAAGCCATGGGGAGCAAGCCAGTAAGCAATGCTTCTCCTTGGCTTCTGTTCCAGCGCCTGCCTCCAGGTTCCTGCCCTGGCTTCCCTCAGTGAGGGACTTACAGGTTCTAAGGTTTCTTCCCCAAGCTGCTTTTTGTCATAGTGTTTTATCATAACAAGAGAAACCACACCGAGACGCTATCTACTGCCAATGGAAACTTCTCTGATGAGGGTTGAGGGATGCATTAATATATGGGTCTAAACATAAGACCTGTGCAAACTCAAGCCAGCCAGACAACTCCCAGCATGGAGAAAGAAAGTGGGCGGGAAGTTCCATCCCTAGTCTAGGAGTTTTTAGCAACGGATTGCTGCTAGGACAGGGAGAGTCAGTTTTCTTTAAGAGTATTTGTTGGCTGTGCTCCAGTGAGAGGCCACACATCCAAGAATATGGGAAAAGCACACATTGGACTGGGTTAAAGAAGACACAAAGTTGGATGGGTAGATTTCAAGGAGGGGGTGGGAAAATGGAAGGGGGGTGAATACGGTCAAAATACATTGTTTGAAATTCTCAAACAACAAATAAAACTGTGCTGCTTTAGTTGGCAAGACCGTTTTAATGTTACATGTGTAGGCAGCATATTAAGTGTTGACCCAAAAGCACACCATGGCATGTTTACCAGAGCAGGGCCTCATTGAAGTCAGTATTTTAAAATAAAACACAGCAAAGCAGAACTCACACCATGGATTGTGTTCTCACACTTCCCCTGTTACAGGTAAGTTATTGCCAGGCTGAGCTCCACAAGAGGGGCCAATGAAACCTGTAGCTAGAGTTTTCCTGCCTTGCCCACAGTCAGGACAAATCTCTGTCACCCGCCAGTCCCACAGCCGCTCAGACCCAATCAAGTAAACACAGAGACTCATATTGCTTCAAACTGTATGGCTGTGGCAGGCTTCTTGCTAACTATTCTTATAACTTAAATTAATCCATTTCTATAAATCTATACCCTGCCACGTGGCTCGTGGCTTTTACCGGTACTTTACATCTCCCTTGTCCTGGCAGCGGCTCCAGGCAGTGAGTCCTTCTGTCTTCCTGTTCTTTTATTTTTCCTCTCTGTTAGTCCCACCTATATTTCCTGCCTAGCCACAGCCAATCAGGTTTTATTTATTGACCAATCAGAGCAACTTGACATACAGACCATCCCACAGCACAGCCAAGTGCAGATCATCTCAGACACCTGCACTCAGGCCCGTGGTCCTAATCATCCTCTATGCGGACCTGCTGGGTAAAGCCATGAGGAACCCAAGAACGGGCTCCCACAGGACATACAGAACATCCCACAGCAGGAACCCATGTCACAGACACAGAAGCTCCTTTGCACATCACCGCTGGTTCTGAAGACAGTGGTTGGTGTCACGGGGGCCATGGAGTTGAACTTGTAGAACCCAGTGCATCTGCACGTAGTACTGCATCCCGTGGGTGCACAGCCACCGTCCACCCAGTGCAGACCGAGAGGGTGGAGCTTCCCGTGCCTTGGGGACAGCATACGACACCTCAGGAGTGGGCTGCAGAGCCCTGAGCTTGGAGGCTCCAGCCCAGAGGAAATGGCTCAAGGCAGAGGGTGGAGGTCAGCAGGCCCAGAGGCCAGGAGGGGACACTGTGACTGACCCCTGCACTGCAGCGACAATGGGCCGAGTGCAATGCAGCAGAATTGGGAGACTATGAAGGGACAGAACCGGAGGTCAACGGAGGCAGACTAATACAGTGAATCAAAAGCTGCCTCTTAGCGACTTAACAAGAGAGAGACAGAGACAGACAGAGAGGGGGAGAGGGAGAGAGAGAGAGAGACAGAAAAGAGAGACAGAGAGGGGGAGAGAAAGACAGAGACAGAGAGACAGACGGAGGGAGAGAGAGAGAGCTAAGTAGCACATACATTTTAGGCACGAGTCAGTCTTCTGGAAACGCTATAATGAAGTGCAGACGGAGGCACTGAGACCAAGGGAGGTTACCTCCTCACAGCCCTGGGAGCCGGAAGCCCAAGGCCAAAGAACTGAACTTCTGTCCAGGCCCCTCTCTGTAGTGTACAGCGGAGAGCAATGTCTTGAAATCTCCTCGGGTAAAGATGCCCAG